GCCGGTGCGCCCGGGGAGGGCGGGGCAGGGCAGCGGCACGCGGTGCGGGCAGGGGCTGCCTGCCTGCCTCTGCGGTACCGAAACCGCTTTTGTTTCGACCTCAAACGGGCCATGGCAGGCGCAGTGGCCTGTCTGGCAGGAGGCACCAGGCCTTGGGCGCCGGAGCTGCCGCCGCAGCCTCCCGCTTGCCGGCTTGTCCCTCTCCGGCGTGCGGGTGCTCAGACGTTGGGCCGAGGAGAGGCGCTTGGCCGCAGGCGTGAGGCCCGGGCTGCGCGGAGAGCAGGGCCTCGCAAAGCGGCCTGTGTCCTGTCACAGCACGCTGCCTTGGTCTCCTGCTCTCTGATCCCAATCATGCCGCAGGCACGGTGGGCTGGCAAGTACACGAAGGACATTCATGTCCTTAACTGAGATGAAGAGAGAGGAGAAAGCAAATAGTTTGAAGCAAACATCACAGAATCAGACTGGCTGAGGTGGGAGGGGACCTCTGGAGACCATCTGGTCTAACCCCCCTCCTCTGGCAGGGAAAGATGCTCATTGCAGAGTCTCAGCAGGTGTGGTTTCAAAGCCATGCTCAGTCCTTCCAAACCCATGCTTTTGCTCCCTAGTGCACAGTTAAACGTGACGTGATACAGCCATATCCCGCTAGCCACAGGGATGTGTTTTGGGAAGTGTGGTGATTGGGGATTAGGTGGTTAGTGAAGGAAATTTACTCCAAAGAGTTAATATAATCGGGAGTGCAGGCAAGGACTTAAGGGATACACACAGTTTAAATACGTGGGGATAGGACAGTACTACGTAAGATCTCTCCCACTAACCAGCCCAGTAATACCCCCCATAAAAGTGAAATCCTTAGTGGCTCAAATGCAAAACAAAGACAAGAGGGATGCTGCTCTGTAGCCACCTTCAAGTTCCCTATGCATTTATACATGCATCAGTGTGAAATGTGTATAATATTTTATAGAAATACTTAAAATATCCTACTGTGGACAATTGCATCTTTATTCTCAGCAGCTGTCATTACATAAACAAATACTATACTGAAAAAAGACCCACAAAAATCAACAAAACATAACTACACGGGTATTCATGTGTCACCTGTGACTCAACGCTCTGTCATGTCAAGATGTCATTTGTTGGGCACACTTCAGTAGGACCGGGCAGGTCAGGGGCATCTGCAGCCCAAGGTAGGCAGTGGAAACGTGAAAGATGGAGAACAGGGTAAAGCTGACAGGCAGCAAAGGCAGGTATCAAATAATTGATGGATAAACTCTGAAATGATATAGATGAGTGATGGGGGACTGTTGCGTAGAGGCAGTGGTTGCCAGTGCAAGCACACTCTAAGGGGATGATTTCACAACCTCCAGTTGCAATCGAATGCCAGCTGTTGCCAAAGAGGCGGTCGCACGTCCTCCATGCTACCCTCAACGGTACAGCTGTGACCCTTTCCTTAAGCAACTCTGACACTTGTCTGACCCAACACCGAACTCGTTCAGAGGACTAACCCCATAGAAAGCCGGGGGTGACAGCCCGCTCCCTGTGGGGTCAGACGAGCACACACGGAGACAGGGAGGAGGACCACCCGCCTCTGCAGTGGCTTGTCACTGGATTGCCACGTCTTCAAAAACCGGTGCTGTTCCCGCAGAAGCCAATGACACGCTTGAAAGCCAACAGAAGTTAAGCCATCAGTTTAACTGCCTAAGAAGCTGGAAAACTCTTGCCTTGAAACAGCCATGTCATCACCACAGATGCTTAAATTCCAGGGGAAGAGAACACGCCTGAAAGCAGCGCTGCTGGAGGAGTGCAGCCCAGGGCAGCTGAGGCAGGATGGGCTCCCGAGTGGTCTGCAGCTGGCAAGCAGTTTAGCACCAGCTTCCGTGACAGTGGTACGTCGAGTGACCGCCAAGGAGGCAGGGTGCTAGCAAGAGGTTTGCTGAGTGATCTTACCCTGGGGTTGTAAGAGGAAAGCAAGCAGCATGGACTGGTGAGGCTAGGCCACTTCGGCTCGATCTGAATTGGGCGGCCCTGGGAGCATTGCTGAGCTACACCTCAACCCATGTTAGGAGAGGCTCAGTGTGAGCCAGCCCCCACTGCTTTCTGCATACATGGGTCTCCCCCATGGAACCGTGCCAGCAGGGCAGTAGGAAGCCAACACATGCTTCAACCTGGATCGTTTGGGATCAGGACCTTGGCTTCACCACATGACACCCCCCATCAGCCTCTTGGACTTAGCAGTATGCCTGGCCCTGCCTCAGCTCGCAGCAGAACAGGGGAACACCAGGGAGATGCTGCTTTTGCTTTTGAACCATTCCCGAACCTCCTCCTCCCTGAGGCTCCACAGAGTTTGGGGTGTGTATCACGTCATCGGTGGCCACAAAAACATCAGAGCGGTCTCCCTGTAAGGCCAGGAAGGATAGCTACCCGACTTAATGTGCTGCACTTCTCCCCTTCCGCTGAAAAGCACAGCAGTGAGCTTTATCACAGGTATTGGCTTTAATATTTCATTGGCAAAGTTCTCCAGAATGTGATTTACTTTATTCTCACACCGTGCAAAATATGACTGAGGTCCAAAAGGTATGAATCACAGCTTGCGATAATAACTACTAAACACATTCTGCCCCCAAAATGAAAGAATTCCTTGTCAGCAACTCTGGCAAGTAGTTTCTTTTTGTGAGACAAAAGGATAAACAATAAATAATATCCCTGATAACTGCAGGGATCTGTGTGTGCTAAGAGGTCCACAGTAACTGGAAGGCCTTACGGCCAATAAGCTGGAAGTCTGGGCTGGTCAATTCAGTTCCCCATAACTCTCTTTCTTCATTTGTAAAATGCAAATAACTATTTCTGATCTTTGCAAAGAGCCCTGAATAGTACCGTGCATGGGCAATTCACATGAAATTGTTGTTATATTAGACAATACAGATGGAATACAAGTATATAGATAACTTAGTCATCTGCCATTTTTTGAATGGGAAGTGTCACGCATTCCCATTCTTCTGAATGGGAAGTGTGATTCTCTGTTTTATTTTCAAGTTTCGTGACTCCCTTCAGGATGCCTACTTCAGCCTGCAGTGCTTTCCCTTATTACAATTCTATTGCATGCATGCAGCTTTTTACAGTGAAAGAGCAAAAATTAGAGTGGGAGAGTGTAACATACCAAGATTAAACAGCAGTGGGAGGAAATCCACTTCTCTTAAACATTTACCATGACGTATAGTATCTCCTTTTTCTCCCCACAGGTCTAGAGGGGGAATCCTGATACTGTTGCCAGACCTGTCTCTCTTGCCAGTTATTCCCAAAAATGATTGTTTTAGTTCTTCAGCTGTTGTGTAATAAACAACTACATAATGCATTTATGGGGGCAGGTCTTCAGCAAGCCTAAATCATCACAGAGTGTTTATTCATTGTCATTTCTCAAGATCCTTGATTCAAGATTCCTTGTGCTAGTATCTGCACAAAAGCAAGCTATCCTGAGATGACTGGACTGAATAAATGAACTCAGAAAATAAGAGCAAAAAACTCTTGCTGAATCTCATAGCTTTCAGTATCCCTGAAAAGAGAGATCACTTTAGCATGGCCTGTAATCCTACAAATCTGGGGATTTTTCTACTTCTTTGTGATATGAGGATGATAAATTGAGTAATCCCCACTTCTTGACTTTGCACGCAAATGTATCTGGCAATGCCAAGTCTTCAGCAGCAACGACCGTCTTCTATGTAATTGCCTGAAAACTAACAAACAACCAAACTGATACCGAAACTGAACCTTCTTAAAAAAATTAGACAAAACTTCTGCTTTGACAGTACGTTGAGCTTACTATGTTAAAATAAGTAAGTAAATACTCTCTACTTCTTATCTTCAGATCTCACTTTCTGTAAACCCTGAGCTCACATTCAGCCATCGGCAGAAGGCATGTCGGCTATCCATGATCTGTCAGGAACTGATAAGACCTAGGCTGGGTTCCCCTGAAGCAGCGTCACAACTTGGTTCTCAGAGGTGGCAAGAAGGGAGATAAAAAGGATGACTGGTCAGAAATAGCCAGTGCAATGGTTTTCCTCTGAAACAGAGTGATTTGACAGAAAGGAACTGTTTCACCAGAAAAAAATAATGAAACCTTAAAATTCATAAATAGCACTGGGCTTGTTTTCGAACTGTGCTGAGAGGGAGGTCAATGGAAGGGAAAGAGCTTGGAGGACTCATTGCCCTCTCTTTTAATACTTCTACTTGGTAATAAACATTGCCAAAGCATCTCAAAGCCTGTTTTCTGGATAGAAGAGATAGCACCCTGATTTACTGCCATGTATCCACAGAGCAGAATTCATTCATCATTTGATAAATTCACTGTCTTAAGGCCAAATTTGGCTTTTATTATGTCACTGTGAATCTGCAGTAACTTCATCAAAATCAAAGATGTTGCAGCAAGCTTTAAGTCCTGAAACTGAAGGGAGTTACCAGTGTAGTTTACTTTAGCAAAAATCAGCTTGAGAGAAGCTGCTCTCAACAGGCAGAGTAGCTGGAAGACCATCATCTCCTTCTGCCTCATACTCCTCTCGCTTCCCCTTCCATTAACGGATAATATCAACAGAATGTGGAGTATGCCAGGATGAAAGGGCCGAGCCAGCAGATGAGGACAATGTGGCACAAAGGAGGGTTTTGCGGAAGGCAGGTCTCAAAAAAAAGGAACCGACAATTCAGACAGGAGGAACAACGCTAGAGAATGGCTGAGAAAAGCGTATAGGATAATTTAGATGTAGGTTAGCTGCCATGGCAACCATGTACCAAATTACTGCACTTCTGCGTCTCTAAACCTGCCAGCAGCTACTTTTGTTTGTATGTACTTCAGGCTTTAAAAAAAAATGAATCCACCTTAAAACTCATGATGGATTGCAAATGAAGTGCAGATACTGGGATTGCTGTGGGGTGCTTGGTTTAAACATTTAGAAAATAGAGATAGAAAAAACAATAGGCCTTGAAAATTCTGATTTCACTAAGTGATTAAAAAATACATAATTTCTTTAACATTTATAGCAGTCAGTTCTAACCCTTAATTTATACTGCTTTGACTTGCACATATTTACCAGGTCAACCTGACAATTTTACCTCCAATGCGTATATA